GTAAGGAAAAAAAATCCCAATAGTTAAAATATGATAAATAATAAATACACTAAGAATTTGACAATCAGAAATGAACAATTTTTTTTTTATATATCTGCAAATGTACTATTTCATTAAAACTTGAGAAACAGATGCAAGTCTAACCTTTTGCACTGCAGCTTCATTAATTAGTGGCCCCTGCAAGGAAATGTAGAGCAGCTTCAAAACTATAATCCTCGAGCTGAAGTTTCTTACTTTTAAATTTAGTGAATAGAAAGAGGTGGCAGCAACATAGGAGCATGAAAAGACAACAAACTGCAATCTGTACAAGTCTAACCCAACTCACATATATGTCTTTTGATCAAAAAGGAGATCAATTGAATACATCATTAACCAATAAGGTAGACAATTTCGATCATCAATCCAATTGTACAACATTATCCTCATAAATTTATAAAACATTGAACATATGGAAACACTACAAATAGCAGAGAGCCAATAGGTAAGCAAAATAGCATGGCCCTAAATGAAGAAATATCTACCTGGACAACACCTTCTGTGAACCCATCCCCAACTTGCAAATTTTGAACAGCTTTTGAAAAAGCATCTGCAAATTTCTCATAAATACCTGCATGAAAAGTCATTGTAAATCCACAAAAGTAGAAGATTGAATATGGACTACGAATGTAGAAAACAGTTCTCATGGAAGAGAAAAAGAAAAATGAACCACTTAAGAATTGCCTAACAAAAGCCAGCTTTAGTGATGATGCTGGCAAATGCTCAGATTGGGATCATGGCATACAGAAACCAAGTAAATGACAATTATGTCGCCTTTTATGAATCAGTATTAGATATAAAGCAGATCCATGACCATCATCCATCCACTGCAACAATGTCGTAATTTTATGGGAATATATTTCCATCCATACCTTCTTGCACAAGTATTCTATTTGCACAAACACAAGTCTGTCCACTGTTACGAAACTTTGCTGCAAGCTGCAGGCAAAAGTTGCACGGTTCAGTTAATAATCCTCCCAAGGTAAACTATATCATCAGGCTATGAAAGCAAACTAGAGAAATGCACATTCATAAGCCACATTCATGTATCTAGAAATTTGGAAATTTGGAAATTTGTGTGAGAGCCTTAAAAGGATAAATATTTGTGATAGAAACACTAAAGATAAAATCATATGTCTACAAAATTTACTCCAAACTTACAGTTCCTTTGACTGCCACATCTAGATCTGCGTCATCAAAGACGATGCAGGGTGCATTACCGCCAAGTTCAAGAGATACCTAAAAGAAAAAAGATCAATAGAAACATGCAAATTTGCAGAACCATCCTGTTTTAGCATAAATATATATTTCTAGTTCACATATCCATACCCTTTTAACAGTTCCAGCAGCACCAGCCATTAACTTCTTCCCAACTGCTGTTGAGCCTGTAAATGTGATCTTTCTTACCTGAATGAGTCACAAGTATTGGCATGCTTAAAACTGTGTCCTTCATAAACCAGTTAAACTGTTTAATATGGCAAAAGATTTGGGATGAAAAGGTAGAAAACCTGTGTACTTGCAAGTAGAGCATCACCAATATCAGGAGCATTTCCCATAACCACGTTCACTACACCCTGAAGATAATTGCAAATGAAAATCATTACAAAAGATCAAGAAAAAAAAAAAAAAAAAAACAATCCATTGCTGTTACTGAAAAATGAAAAAAAAAAAAAAGAACAGAGGGCAAACTCCAGGTTTTGAGTATTTCAGATAGGTTCCCTCCTCCATCATGTCATTGATCAGAGAGGATCCAATAGGGTTTAATGATGAGGGAAATAATCACATTACTAAAACAAAGGAAGTGATAAGATAATGATTAACTTTCCTCCTCTCTCCCATTAGATACCTGATAGCAAACTCCAGTAGATACCTAATAGCAAACTAAGAAGACGTCTCCTAGACTAAGAGGTTAATGATCACTAGAATATCTATTCAAGGAAAGGAGAAAGATTAAAGCTTTATAACTTAACATTTGTTATTTGGCAAGTAAGGATCCAAGAATTCATTTTCAATGTCAAAATTTCAAGCTATCATTACAAGCCAAGAAGCTATCAGAATTCATCAATTCTAATTTCTAAGGTTATGTAAAGGGCCAAGAAAGATAGTTAACTTCATTTTCCAGTTTGAAGATGGACATAAGACAATTCCCATCCAATATTCTAGGATACACAAACTGTCAAAAAAATTGTTTCTAACAGGTTTTCCTTTCTATCATCACACGCCACAGCACAGCAAAGTCAGCTTAATAATAATGGGAATGCTCTCTAAAATGCTTTAAATCATAAAGAATCACCTGAGGAATTCCCGCTTGAAGGGCAAGCTCAGCTGCAGCTAAAGCTGTGAGGGGTGTAAGTTCAGAAGGTTTTATAATCACTGTACACCCACAAGCAAGAGCAGGGCCAACCTGGGGAATAAAAGAAACATGTCAGTTTTAACATGAAAGACACACTATTAGATATTTCCTCATAAAAACATATGCTCAATATCTCCCACCTTTCGAGTGATCATGGCTAAGGGAAAATTCCAGGGGGCAATTGCACCAACAACACCAACAGGCTGCCAAAAAGAAATTAAGGACAGCACAATATATGGGACATAGAATACATGAAATCTCAAAAAGTCTGTGTTAAGAAGTTTATTAGAACTTCCTTTAAATCTTTGTCATAAAAGTAAATCAGTTTAGAGTTGCCAATAAAGGCCAAAGCCATTGATGATTGATGAGCATTTACACAAAAAGTAAAGTTTTGTGTCCGATTTCATTGGTTTTTTTTTTTTTTTTTTTTTTCTCTTTGGTGTGTGTGTGTGTTAAAAGAACATTTACACATTGGAATTAGCATTAACTAGCAAGAAGCAGTCATATAGTAAAATAAAACCAAATACATATGACATCTTTACCTGCTTTAGAACAACCAACCGGCGATCAGCTAAAGGTGCTGGAATTATGTCGCCATACACACGTTTTGCCTCCTCACTAAAAAATTCAATAAAACTGGCCCCATAACTTACCTGCAGTTCAATTCATAGCGTCCAAAATCAGAAATAGTTATGAACAACCAAGAGGGCAATGCTAAAGCCAGTTGATTAAATTTCATCAGAAATTTCAAACGTTACCTCACCCATGGCTTCTTTTAGAGGTTTTCCTTGCTCTAATGTTATTAGTTGTCCAAGTTCTTCCTTGTGGGTCATTAATAAATCATACCTAATACATGTGAAACAAGAGTTACCTGAAATCTGTAACAGTTACTCATGAAGAATAATCTGGATTATACCCATTCAAATGGAACGAGCATATAAGCTTCTATGCTAAAAGCTTATCATATCAGTGTTACACCTAACAATTTAAATTCAGAACATGGCCACCCCTGACTTTGATAAACCCCAACACTCAATCATGCTTGGACATCATATATTTCAGGTGAGTGATAATTTCACATTTCTAAAAACATGTAATGTAAAAAGATCACAAGACAAAGGAAATACCAGTTTCTAAGATATTTGCTCCTTTCAGCAGCTGTGAGTTTGCTCCAAGCTATACACAGACAAGCTGAATCAGCTTAACTCATTTTCAAATGTAAATGAATTTCATAAGTACCTATAACAATCTCATCTTAATGCCACACATGAGTTGCAACTAGAGATATATAATGTTTAATAAACTATAGAGTATAGACAAGGCTGTTTACTAGGGAAAATGGTAGGTATGAATTTTAAACCATATCTATGTTAAGAAGTATAAAAATACAGGTTTTAATAGAACAGAATAAACATGAACACAAAACACAGAGCACAATATAATTATAATGAGTAGCAGTCTGCAATCTCATACAACTAAAAGCATCATAGGCAGAACATATTGCATCATTTGTCTCCCTTCTACCCATGCAAGGAACTTCAGCTATAATTTCTCCGGTAGCTGGATTGTTAACCTACAATAATATGAAGCATTAGTAAGCAGAGGTTAGAAAGAATAACAAAGACATGTACAACATTGAAAAATTTGGAACCTTATTGTTCCGAACAAGGAGATCAGATTTAAGCACAAGATAAGAATTAAGAACAAGGACACGCATTCACTCATCATAGAAGTTTCCTAAACTCATGCCAACAAACAAATATACATGAAAAGCCATTTTTGACAACATCCAAAACAAGTCTTTTCATTATATTAGAAACCAGATTCTGGTGCATGCTTAATATTTACACATTTTGTGTATATAGGTAATAATAATAATAATGAAATCACATGCAGGTAGGCATCAAAAGAAACTTAAAAGGCAATTTCCAAACAAAATCTTTGTGGCAAACCTTAATGGTCTTCCCATCATAAGCATCAATCCACTTCCCTCCTATCAGACCCTGGGTCCGAAAAAGACCTGAATTTTTAAGTCGAGCAGCAACACTCTGTGCTTCCATGCTTATCTGAAATCCAATTTCTTTACTCAGACGAGTAAACAGTGAGAAACTATAGTATTAAAATTTCTGTGAATACATATATCACTCAGAAAAAGAGTAAGGGATCACAACCACATAATCAGGTTCAGGCCGAAGGGATTGATTATGTATCTTCTGTTTTGTAGTATGCAAACAACATAGATCTAATTTACCTCTATATTAGCAGACATCTGACATCAAGTTGGATGTCAAACCAGTGAAATACTTGGAATGACATTCAATGATTTCTCAATGTTAGCATTCTCATTTCCCATATAAGAATCAAAAGAAGACAGCAGATAACATCATCATCAATACTAATCAAGCCAAAGGCCCGCATCCTGTAAAGAATGCTAACTTAATAATCACACATCATCAAATTCAAAAGACTAAAAACCATCAAGAAATAACAATCTCAAGGTAAGTAGAAGCACAAACTTGCACCGTAATCCTACCAACAAAACAGAGTCATCACATTATCTTCATATCTCAAAAGAACCAAGCTAATCCGGAATGGTACAGTAAATCTTAAAATTAATAGCAATTATACTGCAAAACACACTCGGAAATAATTCAGTAATCCCTAAACTGTTTAGTAATACTTGCAAAAAAAAGAAAAACGTAAACAAATTCAAAACACGAACATCGATCCGACAAGAAAAAAAAAAAAAAACTTCAAAATTCAAAAATCAGCAAAGGCCAACTGATTAGCAACCACTCATACAAAAGAAAACTAACGGATCAAAAACTGATAAGGCGAAGAAGACATTTGATTACGCCGTGACTTCGAGCTGCTGGTAAACTCAGAGAACCAGTGGACTGAGATCAAATCGCATAGAGAGCAATCAATGAATACAAAGGCATAGAGAGGCAGAAAGGAAATGACCTGGCGAGAGGAAGTGTGCATGGCAGTCAGATGGGAAGAAATAATCTTGCTGAAAGCCAGTCGTGCTAACATCATTTTCCGGCCGTTGCTTCGCTATCCTCCTCCTCGCCGGCGCTGCCGAATGACGCGGCTGCCAGTGATATTAGATTTAGTATAAGTATCTGCAACTGGGTAAAATTCTGACTCCAATTTTTGTCATTTTAAGATTTTCTCCATTTCTTTATTCGGAAAACGCCATCGCAAGCCCTTAAAGTTTTAACGATTTTTAAATTAAGCCTTTAGATTTTAGATTAATCGATTAAGCCCTTTAAACAACTCAATTTGTTCTAATCAACCAAACGTTTTTTTTTTTTTTCATTTGAGTGCATAATGGGAAAGGACTTTTAATCTCTGTACTCACCTTATCCTTATCCGTATCCGTATGCCATGTGCAACCAAATAAACTTGAATCACAATTTTGTGGGTTATAAAAAAGCAAAGTTACTAATAGGAGTTTAATTAAATTAGTACTTACCAATTAGAAAATTTT